CCCCTCAAATAATAAAACAGAGAGAAATATGTTACTACAGCTAACATGAATACGGTCAAATAACATATATTCTCTTGTCCATCAGCACTGGATGAAGTCTTCAACTAGTTACTTGCCTTCTGTTTGTGGCCACTGACCAAAATGCATGTTAATAACCTCACTTAAACTAACATGAAAAACACCCAGGCAGATGCTGTGACAAAGCTGCCCGGAGATCTTACATGGGCATGGAGCTCAGTGTTAAGTCCAATACAATTCAGCTGAGGTATTTATTTACAAGAGAAACAACGAGTGAAAGGGCAGGGGAGTCCCGAAACTGAAGGCACTGGGTCTCTTTCCCCTCCCAGAAACCCTGTTCCCCAGATGCTGCTCTGTGGGCACCCTGGGGACCTGGGGGTTTTAGGAATCCCTGTCCTGCTCTTCCACAGCCCATCACCCTCAGCCAGCGACCCAGCTGGCCAAGAAATGAGCCGGGCAGAGGCCCTTAGAGAGGGAGACCTCCAGTCCAGTCAGAACCTGCACAAAGCCAATCCTGACCCGATGGGAAGGAACTGTCACGCCCCACACAAGGGCCCCACACTCTCCCTCGCCAGCGCCACTGCATTCCCAAACCCACTGTTTCACGATCTCATTCCTGACTGAACCCATCACATTCTCACAGGCACCCGAGTCCACAGATTCTCACTCCCGAGCCAATTCTCCACCCACGTCCCTCTCCCTTCACTATGTAAAGTTCCCTCGCGCCCTGTTGAGAAGCCTCCTCTAGAGAGCTCTAGTGCGCGTTTTTGTCTCGTCGGATTTCCCGGTTTTTGGACCCAACTTTTCCCATTGTCGATCTTGTCCCTCGGATTTCGCCTTTCGGATTGTCTTCTCGGTGATCTGTCTGTCTCGGTTAGCCTGGTTATCCGATCTCTAGCTCCTCCTATTGACCTTGCTTCCGGATTACGATTTTGGATTGTTAGCCTCATTGTTAGATTATTAGAATTCACGGCTACGCACAGGATTCCCTGACAGGAACCTGGTTCCTGGCTGGAAGAGTGACCATCTGCTAGCTGAGCCATCGTATTCACCTTCAGTAACATCAAGATCAGCCGAGAGCTCACAAGGCACAATGAATCTTTGCTGGACAATTCCTCGTGGTTTGTCCATAACGGATCTGTGACTATAGACAATTACTGCTTGCTTAGATGTTTCCCAGATTAGTGTTATCAGATTGCTACTAAAACCTGTATGATAGAAGTCTGATGCTCCTAACGAGGACAGGAGTTTAGCCTACTGGAAAGTACACTATTACAATGTAATTTTATAGATGCAGTATATTGCTCAATGAGCATCTACATTAACAATGTTGTCCTAACCTTAACACTGGGCTTCTTGATCATTTAACATGCTCCGTCGCACAAAAAATCTGATTTGTTTTCCAAAATCCTTGGAATCAGGGCTTCCTAATCCCTGCACCTGGTCATCTCTGGTCATCTCTGGTTTTATCCGATGGCGAAGCACCTTGCTCCATCACAGCTCTGGGGTTCTGGGTTCAGTTCCTGGGGTGCTATGTGTGTAGAGTTTGTACATTCTGCCTGTATTTGTGTGGGTTGCTCTGGTTCTCTCCCACAGTCCAACGAGATGCTTGCAGGTTCATTAAGCTGCAGGAAATTTGGCCCGGGTGTGAACATATGTGTGTCTGTGTACCTGCCCAGGGTACATCCTGCTTTCCTCCCACTGCTTGCTGGGATAGGCTCTGGGTCTTCTGCGACTCTTTTCTGGATGAAGCAATAAGATGATGGACGGATGGACGAAGCACTAGTGGGTTAATAGCAGTTGTAGCTCACTTATTAAGTTTGTTGAATTGGCTCATTTTAATTGGTTTTGGCTCCTGAGACATAAAGGGGATTCAAGCTCTCACTGAAATTGCATCTTTTTTAACTGACCGCAAAGCCAATTAATCACGTTATTTGTTTAATTAAAGCTTCAATCAATTAACCGAGAGCTCAGCAACAAGGAGACCCAGAAGACTAGACGCTAATGAGGAGCAGAATCACAGAGTATTGTTGCCTCAACTCTTTCTTTATCCATTCTGTGTCAGCTGGCGGTGCAATATAGCACCCAGTTGTTAGAGCCGACGTGTGATGTTCACACTGCCCCGGTTAGCAAGCCTGGGAGAGTATGTCCGCTTCACACCATCAGTTCACAGTGCTTTGACAATGTTGCACAAATGCTGTAGGAATGTAGCACCAAAACATTACAACTCAGAATTCGCATTTTAACTTGCCGACGCGTTGCAACGTTAACGCAGGCTGTCAGCTGGGGATTTGGTCAAATTCCACCATGCGAGTCGTTCAACGCCTCTGCAACATGCCCAAGTGACGGGCTCCATGAACACTCACTCATCACACGTTTCTTCCAAATCGGGGTCAAAGGGGAGCCTATCCCAGCGAGCAACAGGCACGAGGCGGGGTGAACTTGGGGCAGGACACCAGTCCATCACAGGACACCGTCAGGGTCGACGTTAGGAGCGCCTGGTTGGACCCTGGACCCTCTGCGGCGCTGGGACTGTAGGTAGGTAGTGATGGGTGTCCAAATCCCAAGGGCAAGAGGCGAAAGTCGTAGTCGAGGTAGAAGAGCTAGGCCGGGGATCACAAGAGTCAGGTCGACAGGATCCACGTCCAAAACGAGAGGCGAGACGAAGTCGAAGCCGGAGGAAAACAAGGTGGGGTAGCCAGAAATCGGGTCGAGGGTAGTTTACACGCACCAGAGAAAGCCAAAGAGAACGTCTCACTAGTGAGCGGGGCCTGAGAGGAGTGAGAGGGTGTTAACGGGGAAGAGAGTGAGGAAGGACAACTGGTTAATTAGTGCGCAGGCGTTGGTGGTGAGAGGTGCTCGTAGACACACAGACATTCACACACACTTCCCAGAAGCCAATTAACCCACCAGCACGTCTCTGGGCTGCAGGAGGAAACCCATGTGACCACAGGGAGAACATCCAAACCCACGCCAACATGCCCCCCTGTTCCACTGGGCCGCCCCTAAATCAGACAACCAAACCAGACCGGCATGGCAGCTCTCGGGGCTCATCGGAAGAGCACAGCTCTCCCCTTTTCCCTCTTTCCCGCCTTTCCCGTATTGTTCATTTTTCCGTGTGGAATGCCAGTCCTGCTCCAGCTTCCTGTTATGTTTTCCGCTGTCCATCGCGGGGCAGCAGCCAGATCCGACAGAGCAGTCCGGCTCGGCGTGCCGAGTGAGCGACACGCCCTGACTGACCGCTCCTTTCCCTTGGCAGGACCGGACCCCCAGCTCCTCCCCCGACAGCGGCCCCCAGCGGCCCCTGCCCTTCCTGGCGTCCACGTGCGGGCAGGCGAGGCCCGCGGCCCCCGAGGCGCCCCCGTTCCCCTATGAGGCGGCCGTGGGGTGCAGCTCGGGCATGTTTCCGCTGTGGAGCAACGAGGCGCCCCCCGGCGCGGGCCTGGGGGCGCACCAGATGGCGTTCGGCATGCCCAAGGTGCAGTTCCCGGGGCACGTGCAGCCAGGCTTGGGGTCCCACCACCCCCAACACCAACACCCCCCCCACGAGCTGCCCCTCACCCCCCCGGCAGAACCCCTGCCCCCCCACTACTCCTTCGAACTGTCCCCCGTCAAGGTGCTCCCCTCCCAGGCGCAGGGCGGCGGCTCCTATCCCTACCCCCAGCCCAGCGGCATCATGGGACAGAGCTTCCCCAGCTTCCTGCCGAACTCCTCCGCCCGCCATCACCTGCCCGCGGGGGCGCACATGGACGACGGCCAGCAGTGGTGGAGCCTCCCCCCGGCCAACGCCCCGCCCCCCGGGCACCCCTTCGCTCTAGGGCGCCCCCTGGTGCTGGGGCCCCAGCCGCAGATCGCCGCCCTGCTGCAGGGCCCCTCCAAGGGCCTGCTGAGCTCCACGCGCCGCTGCCGCAGGTGCAAGTGCCCCAACTGCCAGGCGGGCGCCGGCGCCCCCCCGCCGGACGAGCCGGGCCGCAAGAAGCTGCACGTCTGCCACCTGCCCGAGTGCGGCAAGGTGTACAAGAAGACCTCGCACCTCAAGGCCCACCTGCGCTGGCACGCGGGCGAGCGCCCCTTCGTCTGCAACTGGCTCTTCTGCGGCAAGAGCTTCACCCGCTCGGACGAGCTGCAGCGCCACCTGCGCACGCACACCGGCGAGAAGCGCTTCGGCTGCCAGGAGTGCGGCAAGCGCTTCATGCGCAGCGACCACCTGGCCAAGCACGTCAAGACGCACCAGAACCGGAAGGGCCGGCAGGCGCACTTCCTGGGCGGGCCGGAGAGCGTGCTGGGCGGCATTAAGAAGGAGTAGGAGCTCGCCTCGCTGCGCGCCGGCCGACTTTCGCTTTTTGACCTGTTACCGTTCCCCACCCCTTCCAATTTTGCCTGTTAGCGGAACTCCTCCAACCCGTTTCTCCACGAATCCGCTTCGCCGTCATTAGGATCCCCTGTCGGTTCTGCCGGCTGCGCGCACGGACTGCTACGGCGCGCGTTCCTGAGGGCTGCGCGGCCCCGCCTGGTGAACCCTGAGCCGAGGCGAACGCGCGCTCCCCGGAGAGGGCTCCTGCGCGCGTCCGTGCTGGATTGACGTCAGTGATCGCCGAGGCTCCTGGAGATGACACGCACCTGACCCGAAGTCCCACGGCTTCTCCAGGAGGCTGTCTTGCCCGTATATTTGAGTTTGTATATATAGCTCCTATACATACAGAAGAATTATATTATAATTCCTGGACTACATTCCTGTAACATCACAGTTTCTTGTAATATTTTAATTAATAGGTACTATGGAATTCATAGTTCCCCACGATATTGTGAAATTTGACACGATTTTTTTTACTGTATTTCAGTTCTAACTTTATATATATATATGGTCCAGAATGTAAAAATAGTCTGTGCCTCACTCGTCAGCTGTACCTGCTGTGATGAATTCAGCGTGTCGCTGCCGCCAGAGTGGGGAGCTGGCCTTTTTTTTTAAAAAAAGAAGGATTTCAGAGCGTTCCCAATTCCTTTGTCCTTACGAAGCCTGCTGGAAACGTTTCTTGAACAGTCTTCGAACACTTCAAGCATGTTATGCCGGCCCCTGTAGCGATTTGTCTAGGCGCACAATGCTTTGGAGACTCCATTAGGTGGGAACACTGATGCGCGTCTCGGTTGTAATGTCAGTATTGTAATATTCCTAATTACAGCCCGCTAAGTGTCCTTGAGAACTGATCCTACTGCTTTCCCTCCGGCCCTCCGGAGCGCCGAGCGGCGTCAGATGTGACCGGCTGTACCCCCCGGAGTGGGCCGTCTGGAGCGGAACCGCGGATTCGGCTGTATATAGTGTATATCTGTCTGCAGTGCAACGGCTTGTGTAAAGGAGTTTCGACCGGAAATAAAAAAAAAACATACTTTGTTCTAATTAAACTGTTTAAAAAAGCCCCCTCCCCCGCCTTTATCATCGTCCTGTCTTCCCGGAGAGAAATCGGGTGGTGGGGGTAGGTGTCCTGTGATTTAACACTCCTCCCCCGCCCAGAAAGGGCTTGCGGGTTCCCGGCTCAGGCTCGGTTCTCTTTCCTTCTGCCCCGAAGTGTAATTAACGAGTGCGGGAGAGTCTCTGTCCCTCGTCAGCCCCTGCCGTGGCTGTGGTGAGGGGTCACTGCCCGGCTGCACTTCCATGTAAACCCGGGGGACACTGCCGGGCCGCGGGCCGGACGAGTGTCACGCCTGCTCGCTTGGTGTTTCAAGCAGACCGGTTTCAAGCGCAGTTCCGCAGCGGGGCAGAGCTTCTCACGGCTCGGCCTGGCTCGATTCTTCTTCAGAATGCCTTATAAAATAAAAGGTTAGTTACACTCTAGCCACGCGTATTTATTATTATACGCGCTTTACAATTGCTTATGTACGACGGTATTGCAAAAACAAATTAAAAAAATCACACTGGCACTTGCCCGTAAAATGTCCTACTATCACCCATCCGCCCAATGTCTCGCCCCATCTTCCAGCTCAGGGGCGCGGGAGCCGCAGCCGATCCCGGCAAGCCACGGGCCCGCACGAGTCTTATCAGCACCGTCCGTGACGCTGGACGGAACCATCGGCGGCCTTAGTTCAAGTGCACTGTAAATTATCTCGGCGGTGGTTTCTTTTGTGGTTATTTCAGGTGTTATCTTATTTCGTAAGTCACATTGGATAAAGACGTATAGTAAATATGTTATGGTTAATAATACTAATAATAGTTGACGTAACAGACGCCCTATCCCTTACTGCGCCTTAATTAAATGATAAAATGATGATGATGATTATTATTATTATCAATGACAATTCTTTTGGAGAGCGGCTGCAGAGCTAATCCACTTTAGAGGGCACTGCACTTGAAAGTGTCAGATTAATTCGAGGTTGTATTTTGTCCCCTTGTAATGAACTTATTCACCCATACGCGACAGATGACGGGGACCGGGTAAAGCAATTACTGCCGATATCACTAACCAGATCAGGTTCCTCCGAGCTGAGGTGCTGGAGGAGCTGGAGTCCCGTCTTAACCACCCGTGTTTTAGTTAGTTCGCACAGACGCGCGGATAGCGGGGTGGGCGACACGACCTCCCGGCGGGTGCCAGAGGAGTAAAGGTTTTTAATGGTTTAATGGTAAACATTAAAGGTGTTTAATGTTTAATGGGCGGCCGAGCCCCGAGCGAGCTCTCGCCTGGCCTTTCACTTGGGAAAGGAAGCAAAGGGCCTCCCCCGCTGTAAACACTAAGCACACTCGCCGATGAAGGGGCGCGCTTGCTCGGTCCTGTTCAAGGTCGCAGCCCTGCGAGGCGGGCAGGGAGCGGCCTCCCGCTGCTTTTGGGATTCCCGTGGAGAGGCAGGAGCCGCCTTTGATCTCACCGCCCCGGGAACCCGCATCACTCGACCCCGCCGCGGCCCTCTCCCGGCAACAGAGGTGCAGAGACGAGGTTTTACGAGTTCAGCCATGCACACGGTGGCTAAGAACAAAAAGCACAGCGCCGGGCTATTCTTTTCCAGGGAAACATTCCTGGAGCATGACATTCCTTGTTCTCTGCAGGGATAGAAACTCGTCATTTGTTACACGGCGAAAGCACCATCAAAGTATCTTCAAATGATTATTTTACATTAATAAGAACGACGATGATGATGATACTGACGACGATGAAGAAATGAGCAACGTCAATCATGCACGTGAAACAAAAACTATGAGGTTTCGCCGCCGGCGCTCGGAGCCGGTATGAGTATTTCCCGTGCTGCTGGTGGTCTGGTCATT